TGCAAAATATTAATTGGGTAGTCCTCCGACACCATAATAAAGCGCCTGGCAAAAAATAAAAAAATTTTTTGGGGGGTGTCAGTGTCCCTTTAACGACCCAACATTGTTTCCTCTCTTCTCATGGGGGATCAATCCTAACCTGTTTGGAAGTGACCATTTTCCCATAATTTTAAATCGCATTGGACGACCGGTTACACTTCCAATGCGAACTCCCCGTTGGAAGTTTGACGAAGCAAACTGGCCAGTTTTTAAACAAGCATCCCTTTTAGCGTGTACATCTCTCCATGAGCTCTCCATTGATCACATAACTGAGCATATCACCAAGCATATTTTGGAAGCATCAATCATGGCCATACCCATGACATCAACACATCTTCCCAAGAAATTGAAACTATTATGGAATAACGACTACCGCATAGCAAAAAAGAAACAGAACAAATCTTGGGGAATTTTCCGCCGATACCCAACACAAACTAATCTCATCACCTTTAGGATAACGAAATCTTGCGCTCGGTCTATTCGCAGGAAGTCTGAGCGAGATAGCTTCAAGGGATACACATCTTCCATAAACAGTGTTTCGTGCAAAGAGCCACGGGACCGCGTGCATAAGATCCATGGCTGCTGCCGTGCATATTCTATCCCTCTTTTGACTAGACATGGAATCTGTCCCGAAAGTATTCAGGAGCAAGCCAATCTACTAGGAGAGCATTTTGAGTCTGTCTCAAGCTCTGATCCTTATACGCCAGCTTTCATTCGGCATAAACTCCATGCCGAGAAAATATCTATAAGTACCTCAGGAGGCAATCAAGAACCTTATAATGTACCATTTACACCACATGAACTTGAGGCAGTACTGCATAGTCCCAAGCAGACTGCCCCTGGCCCTGATGGTATTCACTACACTATGCTATGCCACCTACATCCCTCAACGCTTGAACTCATTTTGTACTTATTCACCCGTGTTTGGTCGGAGGGTCAGTTCCCGTCGTCTTGGAAGGTGGCTACTGTCATTCCTTTGCTTAAGCCAGGCAAAGATGCTTCATGTGCTTCCAGTTACAGACTGATAGCATTAATGAGTTTTTTCTCAAAAACACTGAAGAGAATGATAAACAAAAAACTTATGTATTACCTAGAAAAAAGCAACCTTCTAGACAAATATCAGTGCGGCTTCCGTTCGTTTCGATCCACGCTCGATCATCTGGTTCGATTTGAGACCACTGTGTGGGAGGCATTTGTAAATAAGCAACACTGTGTTTCTGTCTTTTTTGATTTAGGGAAGGCATATGATACAGCCTGGCGTTTTGGAATTTTGCAGGATTTGTTTGGTCTTGGTGTCCGAGGTAGAATGCTAGGTGCTATTCAAAGTTACTTGCAATGTCACACTCTTTATGTAGATTGGGAACAACCCTTTCCAGGGAGTTTTTTTCAAGAAAATGGAGTTCCCCAGGGAGGTGTCCTCAGCGTAACCCTTTTGATCCGGATCCGCGAATATCCGCATCCGCAGCCCTTGAATCTGCATCCGATCCGCAATTCGCCAAAATTCGTCTAAATTTTATCCGCATCCGCCAGTTTACTGCGGATATCCGCGGATAATCCGCGGATATGCAGGGCTCTACAGGTAACAGCCGTGTCATTGTCAGTCACAGCACGGGACGCACAGGCATTGTTCAACACAGCAATAACGCTACCCTTTTAAATAACCCACCACCTGGTTTTTATAACTTGTCCCATCCCCAGCTCTTGAAGCATTTACCACCTACAAGCTCACCATGCAACCAGTCACCTTTCTTTTCTAAAACCGTGCCAACGTAACCGTGTAATTCCCAAGAACTCCCGCCTTCGCTCTTCGAGTCGTTTTAACGATCCAGTCCTCCGCAAGAGTCACAATCGTAATTTAGGCGATGCCACGTTTCAACTGATGAAGGCACATTTTATGTGCTACAATGAATATTCGCTGACTTCCTTTCCATGCTCTTTCACGCAAAATTATTACTGAAATTGGCAATATCAATTCATATTTCATTCCTGACAATCTCGTCTCGAAGTCCAAAAAAAACAATATTTTGCATCAGATAAACCATACCACTGTCAGGCACCAACCTGTTGTCATCGTACCAGACGATTTACTACTCACCGCCCCCAACAAACAATTAATACCAGGGTTGTAAAGTACCTAGGTACAAGTAACTGTAAATCGGTATCTAGGTACTTTTGTTGTACCTGAGGTACAAACCTGGGTACTTTAATTTCTCAGTATCTGTATCTGTATCTTAGGTACATTTTCCAGTAACTTGTAACTAAGTGAAGTTACTTTTTACAGGTACTTTTCTATTCACTTTGTCAAAATCGTAGAAAATACAATATAACATAAAACTGAAAATAAATTATAATTACAGTCGTCAAGCAATTTAACTTCACGTAGTGTTTCCACGCAATAAATCGAACTCAAATTTCACACTTTACAAAACTGAAAATGTTTGTGAAGAGAAATGAAATGAAAGGACGATTAACCTTCGCCTTTAAGAGTTGAACGCGATAGGGTTATCGGGCCCCGTTCGCATGGCCTTCTCAATCGCTTCTCATGCTCTGGAGTCACACAACGACCTAGTTCTTATGATACAACAATCCCGGCGCGATCGAGGAGCTTTTGCCAGTGCTTTGATGCCATTTTACCCCGCAAGGTTTATTTATGCGTTTATGCTAACAACACTCGATGCGATAATTCCTTTACCCTGACACAGACAGACATCGAGGCTCTCTAATGACGGCAGGATCGCAGTGCCATTCCCAAGCCCTCCGTTGCCTAGTCGGTAGCATGTCTGGCTCGCAACCGAAGGGTCGCGAGTGCGACCCTGCGTAAATTCTTCAAATTTTTCTTTAAGGCAAATGAATTAGTTTATCAAATGGGATAATTTGAAACATGCGGCGACCATTAATTCGTATGTCTTTAACCACCTTCATTTTACGCGTGACGTCAAGTTTCACATGAGCGTTGTGGGTTGTTTGAAATTCCCGCGCGAAGTCATGTGGCTGTGACGTCACGACCCTATCGACCATTCAGGAATTTCCCGTCACGCCACCGACATCCGACGGATTTTCTGTGACCCGAGCTCGTAAACGCGGTCGCGTTAAAATATTCTCTTCCTTCCTAAAAAACGAAAGAAAAAACGTGAAAGCTTGAAGGCTTTCGCTCGTCGTTGCGTTGCAAAGGTTAGGTGTATGTGCACTCGACTCTTCGTTTCTCCATGCGGCCGACGTCTTCTGACCCCGCCGATGGCTTCGATGCCAGTGCTGGCGCTGAAGGGCAAGCCACGTCAACAAGCGAGTTTGAGCGGGAAGTCGTAAACAGTGGAAGCTGTGTCCTCGGTGAGCCAATTGGAGCGTGAGAGTAAGGCACGTGAGGACTCAACTCCGATCCTTTCAGCAAGTGCTCGGCATTATGGAAGAAGCGAGCGAGGTCTAATGTGGTTGCTGACGCCATCTCTTCAAGCTGTGAAGGATATTTGCCCACGCCTGTCCTCACGCGGTGAAACTCTACATACAATTGCCTCAAATCGCTTCACGGAATGCTTGTTCACAGTGAGGGAAAGTTGAAGGAAGTTTGTGAGCATTTCAAAATTCCGCGATTCACGAAGTCAGACATTGACTTTATTGATGAGTATGTTCAGGTGTTTACACCTCGCGCACAAGCTATAACTTGCACAAAAACAGCATGTTTATGGCATATCTCCTGCCTACAGTGGCTTCACTTCACAAGAAATGTCCGCGTTGCTGACGGAGAACTTGAGGTACTGCCGCCCGGTGGTCGAGAGCTAAATAACGGCGATCAATAAGAGGTTTGCGGGTATGGAGGAAGAAAAACATTTGATAATATCTGCCGTATGCCATCCAAAATTTAAGGTTGCATGCATAGACAACGAAGTGGAACGGAAGCGGGCCTGGGATTATCTAAAGAACGAACTTATGCGAACATCAACTATAGAAAAAGCGTCGTCAGGCGAAGAAAGTGGTGAGGATGAAGAAGACTGTAAGCACTTCATTAACTTCGAAACATTGTCCTCATCTGCTTCATGGGAACGGGAGTTTGTACAGTACACCGAACTTGCTCCAACAAGAAGTCTGGACTGTCTCAAGCACATGCCGCTGCTGAAAAGCGTGTTTTTAAAATTCAACACGGGGCTTCCAAGCAGTGCGGCGCTGGAGCGCGTTTTTAGCATAGGGGGAACAATTGCTACCAAACTGCGATCGAAGATGTCGGATGAACATTTCGAAGAAGTCCTGTTTCTGAGGTCAGATCGAGCACTCAAGTGAAAAAGACAAAGTCTTCGAATGCTCTGGTGAGAGCGTTTTGCCTTATTTCTCCCATTGACACCAATAAAGCACGTTTATCAAACTTGTTTTGGTGTAAATCCCAGTATACAAAGGATTTACTTCCAATAATAATGTGACAAATTTGAGAAAGATACTTGACGTGAAAATAAAAAGTAACTTTGAAGTAACTGTACCTGTACCTACGTACATTTTTTAGCGAGTAGCTAGATACGCACCAAGGTACATTTTCGTATGAGTAACTGTAACTGTATCTTAGGTACATTTCTGAAGTAACTTTCACAACCCTGATTAATACTATGAAAGTCATATTCTTCGTCTCTACACTTCCAAACAGACCCATTCTTCCTAGATGTAGAAAGGAAACAGTCCTTCCACCACCTGCTCCTCGATGCCCACTCCACCTCGCAAGCGTCCCTTTCTTTCCGCACCACTTTTGACACTGTCTACCTAAAGACGAGTACCTAGACCTCGCCTCACACTTAACGTGGGCAAACTGTTCATTTCATCAAAGCTTGGCGCAGTGTCCTTGCCAAATAAATCGTTGCGTAATCTAATGTCTAAATACTGCAACACAAAACCCCGAAAGTTCACTGTTCTGAAAGTCCTTCGAAACCGCACTGAACTTTTAGACGCAATCGAACAAACCGACAAGGGCAGAACCGTAGTGTTCAGGCGCCGTAATCTTTACACAGATGGGGCTCTGCGATAAGTATCTGTCCCTGATTTTTGTAAGCCGCTTCTCTCTGACCTCAAAAAGAAAAAAGAAAGAACTCTCAATTGAAAATAACTTTCTCTCCTCTGGGGGGACCTGCATATAATCGATCTACAACCTCACGTTGTTTCACTTTGCCTCATTTCCAAAATATATAAAGCAGGGTTCCCTGGCCGTTTCATTGTGTCAGCTGTGTCGTCTCTAATTTATTTTGATTTGCCTTTGTCAAATTGGTCTTTGAGCCCGTAGTACAAGACCTACACACTATCCTCTCCACAGTGGGCATCACGTTTCTCCACGTGGTAATCGCTCAAGCCGAAGGGTTAAGAGCTCTTTAACTATTCTGTAATAGATCCTTCAGACAGCGCGGTGGGAACAGAACAACAGTTTATTTCCGTATGAGCGTTTATATACACTGCGCATGTTATGATAAGCGAACGCGGCTTGCGTTGGTGATAGGCGCTGACAGCGATAACAACAAATATACCTTGTCACTACATGACACTCCTTTCTCCTACGATTAGATGCACAAAACAATAAAGAACGCTTGGTTAATCATTAATGCCATAGCGTACAACAGCATGTCGATTGCGTGTTGATCTTCGTGGTGGAGCCGGAGCTTGCGTTGCTGACTCCGTGCTCGCCTCCGGCCGCTGCGACGTTCCCGCTGTAGGTGGGAGCCTGAAGTGATAGTCCACCCTTGTGCTGGCATCCCCTTGAGGCGCCGTCCAGGCTCGTCTCAGCTGGTTCCGGTGTCTGTGATGGCGCTCCCCGTTGTCCAGTTGGACCGTGTACGACACCGGGCCTCGCACTTCCACCACGATAGCTGCTTTCCACCGGGGTCCTGTATTGAAACTCTTTGCGTAGACTGCGTCACCCACAGCAAAACACTTTGTTGGCGACGCCTGAACCTCAGGTTCACGCTGACGATCTGGGTGAAGTCTGTCCAAGGCTGTCCTCAACCTCCGCCCCATCATCAATTCTGCCGGTGACTTTCCCGTGACAGAATGCTGCATGGTGTGTTGTTTAAACAAGAACCGCGCAATCTTGCACTGAGTTCTGCCTTCCTGTTGTTTCTTCAAAGCTTCCTTGACTTCTCTTACCATCCGTTCGGCCCTGCCATTCCTGGCGGGATGATAAGGTGCTGCGAACACTGTACGAACACCTTTCAATTTCAAGAATGTTTGCAATTCAGCACCAATGAACGCTGTGCCATTATCAGAGACGATTACGTCTGGCACCCCATGAGTCGCAAACATTTTCCTTAAGCTGGTGACGACAGCTGAAGATTTCATTGATGGCATGATTTCTACCTCTGCCCAGTTGCTGTACGCATCAACTACAATTAGAAACACTTCTCCCTTGACTGGCCCCGCGAAGTCTATGTGTAGACGACTCCATGGTTGATCTGGCTTGACCCAGAAATGCACTGGAGCCTTGGGGTCGCTTTGGCGGTTACTTTGAGACGGCTGACAGTACCGCACAAATTCTTCAATCTGGCTGTCCATCTTTGGCCACCACATAAGCCCTCTTGCTGAAGCTTTCATGGCACTCATTCCCGGGTGGTTTGCATGCCGCAACTGAAGTACCCTCTCTCTTGCCACTTGCGGGATGACCACACGGTTTCCCCACAGTATGCAATCACGATGCAACGACAACTCGGACTTCCTTACCTCGTAAGGCACGAACGTATTGTCCGGTTGCCTCGACGACCAGCCACTGAGGATCCAATCCTTGACCTTGGATAAGATGCAGTCTTTTTTGGTCATCCTTGCGATGTCTGCCGCCTGGAGTGGAGCATACTCGACAGCTTCAAGCAGGAGCACGTCCCCCGGTGGCTGTGGCTCGTCTTCGTCTCCCACGATTGGCAGACGACTAAGCGCATCAGCGTTGGAGTTGTCTTCGCCCCGCCTGTACTGAATGCGATAATTATACGCCCCTAACAACAAAATCCAGCGAAGCATCCTGGGCGACAGCACTTCTGGCACCCGCTTCTCTGTGTTGAACAACCCCAACAGCGGCTTATGATCCGTTACTACGGTAAAGTCTCTTCCGGCCAGGTACTGGTGAAATCTTTTCCCTCCAAAGACGACTGCTAAACCTTCTTTGTCAATCTGGGCATAGTTGCGTTCACTAGCACCGAGAGTTCGTGAGGCGTATGCTATAGGTTGCTCTTTCCCGTCATCAGCCTTATGCGCCAGCACGGCCCCTACCCCGACAGGCGACGCCTCGCAGCACAAAACCAACGGCCGCTTGGGGTCATAGGGAACAAGTACTGCATCCGAGCTAAGCAACTTCTTCAGCTTTTCAAACGCCCGCTGGTGCTCACCTGTCCATTTCCATTCTTGCTCGTGGTCCAAAAGCCGATGAAGGGGTTCCGCCACTTCTGTTTTCCCCTTGAGGAAACTGGCGTAGAAATTTAACAACCCCAAGAAAGCTTGAAGCTGCTACCTGCTTGTCGGCGGTGGCGCTTGCTGAATGGCGTCCGTCTTGGTCTGGCTCGGGTGGATACCTGCGGCATCGATTCTATGTCCCAGGAATTCAATGCTTGCTTGACTGAATTCACACTTTTCTTTGTTTACTCTTAGCTGCGCTCTTTGCAGACGCGCCAGCACGGCTGCAAGCCTTTCCGAGTGTTCGTCTGCGTTGCTTCCCGATATCAAGATATCATCGAGATAAGCCTTCACCCCCGGAATCCCTGCCAATAACGTGTCGATGACTCGCTGAAACACCCACGGAGCCACCGAGATTCCAAACAGCAGCCGCCGGACCTTGCATAGCCCTTTAATCGTGTTGACGGTCAGCATTTCTGCTGATTCATCATCTAGGCTGAGCTGTTGATACGCCTGAGTTAAGTCGAGCTTGGTAAAAATTTTACTCGACCCCAAGGTCGCTACCATTTCCGCGGTCGTGGGCAAAGGATACCCGCTGCTTTTAATAGCCTTGTTTACGGTACTACGGTAATCCCCACATAAACGCAAGGTTCCGTTTTTTTTCCTCACCACTACCAGCGGTGTCGCCCAGTTTGAGTACTCAACCGGCTCCCAGACGCCTTGTTGCACCAGGCGATCCACTTCCTTGGCCACGTCGTCCTTGAGGGCCAGCGGGACAGGACGACTCTTGAGAAACACCGGGCGGGCGTCCTCTTGAAGCTCTATGTGAACTGGCGGTCCGTTGAATCCAGGCAGGTCACTGCCGAAAACCTCAGCAAAACTCGATGTCACGTCCTCCACCTTGATCTGCTGAATTCCACTCAAACGGATGCCCAGCGACTCAAACCAGCTACGTCCGAGTAAACTGTTACCACGCTTCTTTATTACTAACAAAGGTAGCTCTGCTCTACAGCCTTTGAATTTCACTTCCACGTTTGCCCGACCCACCACGGACAATGATTCATTCGACCAGGTTACAAGCTTTGTGCCGGCTTCTTGCAGCGGTATCTGGCCTCGATGCTTCTCGATCAACCGAAACGTCTCTTCACTCACAATCGAGCAAGATGCTCCTGAATCGACTTCCATCGGAACTTTCTCTCCTTGAATGTGCACTTCTACCATGAACTTTTCAGCCTGTTCACGCACTTCGCATACAGAAAACAATGCGCTCATTTCATAGACGCCCTTGTTTTTTTCCTCCCGCTTGCGCAGGTCAGTTGGCTTCCGCGGCGTCCGATTCTCGTCTTTTGAACGACAAGCTTTTGCCACGTGTCCAACCTTTTTGCATTTGAAACAAGCAGCCTTTCTAAAACGGCATACATGCGGAGCGTGCTTACCGTTGCAGCGGAAGCAGCTGACGTCGTCCGCCTTGGTGTCCAGTTTCATGCGTGTCGCTTGAACCAGACCCTCGCTTTCTTTGGTTTCGTCTTGAGCTTGCTTGCGTATATCGCGCTGCTGCTTCTCCGTTGCTTCCGCCGTCAGCGTCATGTCGTACGCCACCTCGAACGTCAGGTCGCGTTCTGCGAGCAGCCGCTGTTGAACCGCTTCATTCTTGATGTCGCATACGAACCGGTCCCTCATCATGACGTCCAGTGGAAGCTGTTTGTCACCGAAACCGCAGTCTTCAGCCAGCTTACGGAGTGCCGTAACATACTCCGACGCCGCCTCACCCTGAGCTTGGTTTCTTCGGTAGAATAAGAATCTTGCGTACAGCTCCGAAGGCCTTGGATGCATGTGCTTCCGCACCGCCCCCTTGATGTCGTCGTAGCTCGCCGCCGCCGTCGGTCTTGCTGGCTCGACCAAGGTCACGATCAGCCCGTAAGTGTCCTCGCCGCAACAACTCAGCAGAACCGCTCGTTTTTGCTCGTCCGTGGTTATCTTGTTTGCAGCGCAGAACATCTCTAGCCGTTCGACGTATTCATCCCAGGACGCATTCGTGCCGAGACGATATTCGCCGATCCTGCCGACCGATATCTTGCCTTACTCGACCGGGACTCGCCCGTCCGTCGATTCGCCTCGTCGCCAATGTAATAGATCCTTCAGACAGCGCGGTGGGAACAGAACAACAATTTATTTCCGTATGAGCGTTTATATACACTGCGCGTGTTATGATAAGCGAACGCGGCTTGCGTTGGTGATAGGCGCTGACAGCGATAACAACAAATATACCTTGTCACTACACGACATATTCCTTGACTAGCACCCCAGTCGGAGCCCCCCGTGTGTCTCACGTGATTCGCCTTGCAGGACTTTACTCTTGCAGTAAACACTTTCCAATTCAACAACTGATTTTATTGTCAGAAATGTTGTGTAGCACCAAGACCGGCCTCTCGTTTGGCAATTTTCCTGGTCGGCTAAGACGAAAGTATGTTTTCCTGACACCTTTCCTCATCCTCAACCATAAATCTATCATTGCTACATTGACAACATTCTAGGATTTGGCCCCTCTTTCATAGTTGACCGCATGACTAATGTGCTCTGTAATACACATGCCTTCCTCCTGTTTACTTAACATATCTTGAAATCCTTTGTAAACTTTCTAGACATAAATATCAGTAGTGACGGCCAGAAGTTTCACACCTCCATACACTATAAACCTACCGACAGCCATAATTACTTTCTCTACTCCTTGAGCGAGCATAGATCACAAATTGACTTCTTTCCTTTCTAACGATTTCTCTGCCTCCAGAAGATTTGCTGCTATGACACCGACTAGGTTTTTTTATTCAACGTGTATATCAACATTATTAGGTTATCTCAGTTACGGAACTGCTTATAGATGGTGCATGCACGAGCAGTACCCCCTCACTCACCAAACTCGCCTACCGCTGTTCGACGCGCCGGACGGCTGCTTTGGTAACTGCAGTGTATTATATGGAATACATACGTTTTGAAGCGCAGCGTCTCGATGGCACTCCACCATTTTTTATAGAACATGCAGCTTGTAAACGAAAATGTAGATGGCGCTTCGAACGGCAGGAGGCGGACTGAAGTGATTGAGGGGGGGTACCCCCTTCTGCGGGAGTTCCACAACTGAGGTAATCTAGTAACGTTAGGTGATATCTACTAGCGCTTCTCCGCAATGCGAGCAGTTGTCTCTCCAGCATCTCTAGACACGACGCCCTTTTCCCCCTACCAAGACTTAAAGGGGCCCTCCGGAGCTTTCTGCGATCGTCTGTTTATGTTGTCATATTGCGTAGTAGGTGCAAGTTAATATGTATACAAAGTTTTAGATTACAAAACCGTTTATTAAGCAGATGGCAGAAGAAATATATCGGGACTATTTTCTCTTGGAAGACAATCCCCCGTTCCCTGCCCAACGCTAAAACTTGACCAATGGAAATGCTGCATCTCGCGGTGAATGCGAACGTTATTATTGCAACACTTTTTAAGCTAGTTGTAAATTAGAGTTTGAGAAAAACGTAAACTGATTGTGGTGCGGGAAACATAGTCCGCAATTATCGCTCTAAAACCAGCGAACTATGTTTTCTCCCCGCAAGGCGCTGTGTGAGGCGCTGTGACCTAGATTTGGCTCCCCCAAACTAGCCTTTGTCCCCATCGTGCTTAATCTTCTGGCCCAAAGTCGGCACAAAGAAACCATCTTCCGTCTCTGCTCGGCCAGAAGGAAGAGAGAGAGGGTACTAGAACCCTTTACTCTCCAACTGATGTTTTTATAAAAGGTCCATTCAATTAGATATGTTGCGCTACAATGACAGCATGGGACTAGTCCCACACGCCAGTATGCCTGTTGGGAAGTGCGGCGAGTCTTCCAACGTAGACTCCAGTTCTTCATTGGAATCGGACGACAAGGAGTGGCGGCTCCAAAGTACGGAATGTTAGGTTACGTTTCAGGCCGTATATTGAGATGTACCGAAGTAACAAAGATTTAAAATGTTTTGTTTCTTTGAAGGTGCTCTTGCAAGTGCTCACCGTGGTCCTTTGACACTTTGCGACTCTCTCCTGTTCAGGGGGCTACGGTAGCCGAAGCGTCGGAATCGTATCGGGTTTGAGGCAGAAGGCTTTTGGACAGGCACGTAGCCAGGATTTTGTTTCAAGGGGAAGCGGGGGGGGTGGTTCCCCCCCCCCCCGCCGCCCATGACAAAGTGCTGTATGAGAAGGAGGGGGGAGAGGAGGTCCCAGCAAAATGAAAGATTTCGGGGGGCGGGGGGGAAGGGGGGGGGGGGGTGCCCGGGCCCCATGGGCCCCCCCCCCCCCCCCTGGCTACGTGCCTGCTTTTGGAACCTGCCCGCATTCGCAAAGAGCACTGTGAATGTGGCTGTAATCACTTGGTGTCAAAATGTTCCAAAGCATACACGAATGACCTTAGACCCCAGGTCCCTTAGACCGACGAGCCTGCACCAAGTGCTTCGACGCGGTTCATTGAGTGGCAAGCGGTGAAACTGCAACTGTTTCTTTTTAACCACCGCACTGCGGAAACTGTAATTCAGGCACCTCGGTAAAATGCAGCCTTTCGGCATAGTGACCGAGCGATTGATAACAAACAATGCACACAGCCAGAAAACGAAAGTCCACTCTGCAAAGAAAGCGCTACTGGGAGCGAACCCATTCAGTCACAGACGATGCTCGTGGGTTGACTGCGCAGGCGCAGTCGGGTCATTTCCTTGCTTCGTTTACCACACGATAGATGGCGCTTGGCTCACAGCATTATCAAATTTGGCAATTTTTGTCACATCTCTAATTATGCTACATACAAAATATGGACCTGACTATTATTTAACAAAACTTTTAGGAAACATTCGCCGTCTATTTATTGTTTATGATCGCGGTGCTGGTGAGCAGCACCCTTGCGAAAAAGGTCTAATAGACCTTTTTCGCAAGGGCGCTGCCATTTTGAATTGTAGTCACTTCCAGTATGGGCGAAACATTATTTTGCCGTCGCCACGCCAATAGAAGGCATTTAGGACATAAACGTAACCTTCACCTATTCTCGTTTTGCCTTCCCTCTATTTTTTTACTATTTGCAGATTGAAACGTTTTAATATTTTTTCGTCGCCCATGCCGGATATGCCTACTTGGTGGTCGGGGCGAGAGTAAGTGGAAAAGGTCTATAGGCGACGTGGATATGGCTGACAGGCTGCGGTTCTGCGGATGCATCGCAGTGAAAAGGCAGTGAGTTTTCGAAGGACAATAGGTGCAAAAGAGTCCCGTTTTCTTTTAAAAGTTGTATAGCGAAGAACTTTTCTGGCTCTCTATTTTTGTGTTTTTGTGTTTCTTTTCACTCCTTTTATGACATGCGAGGGATGCAAATCAATTTCAAAATCGTTTCATGGTCCCTTTAAGCCAATGGGAAACGCTGTTATTTTCTTGTTTCATCTTTCCCCATCCTAGCTCCGCAAAGCAATGATCAGCCCAACTTCCTACCTTGTATCCTCTAAAATCATATCTAAAGCATCTTCCCACCCTTACCGTCGACGTGCCAACTGAGGCCCTCTCTTAGTTTGAAGCATCCTGAAAACGAGGCTTTCCGGAACGACAGAGTGTGGCGCATTGAAATGCCATCCAATCGGGTTAGAATAAAATGCAAACACTGGAGTGCATGGCCATCGGTGAACACTTCGCCTCCTGGAGGCCTCTGGAAACTGACAAAAGTGTGGGGTGGAGAGTAGGGTACTGAGTGGGTGTGCATATCTACTGTGAACCTTGCCCAGCACAACCCAAGCTTCCAGGCCACGTCGGTGGCGTGCGTAAAGTTTTGTCACTGTTTGCATTTCTTTCGAACCCGATACTGCATGTAATAATGTGAAAGCATTAACTGTCTCATGGAGCGAGCTGACGTCATCAGTCCGAAGCACGAAGACGGCAGATAGTTTCCGCTCGCCTTCGGTTCCATTTGCTGGCGCGCGTCGACGGGACTCCCATTGGCCGCTGCGCTATGGCCTCCGAGATCCCGAAGCGCGCGCGCGCAGCAGACGACTAGGTGAGCGGACGAGCAACTTGCATGCTTTTGCATTCATAACTCGTAAGACATGCTTTGGTGTACCTCAAGCTTTTAAAAAATCCCTCACAACAACATGTGTGTATCCTCTAAAGTCACATAGCATAAAACACCGGCAGAGGGCCCACCCCACTTTCACTGAAAACTAGGTTAACCTGGACATGGTCGCTTGTCTGATGAAATCAAGCGCTTAACTATTCCCAAGCTTGGAAAATGCTAATAGTGGGCGCTTGAACAAGGTGAGTGCTTCCGAGGTATGTCACGGTACATAAACTTTCAGCGCACTTTGCCCCACCATACACCACATAGGAGAAACAGACCGCCGACCCCACAAACGTTTCCGAGAACACTGCAGACTTGCTGTGCTAGAAATCGTGGGCCAACTCAAACAGAAGGTTTCCGCAGACATGTCAGGACATTTATTCTCAATAGATTATTCTGAGTTTGACAGTCGAGTATCTGTAATGAAGTCAGGCTTTCACACGCCCACCTCACGCAGAGAAGAAGAAAACCATCCAATTTGGAACTCGAAAACAGGATCTCTCTTCGGCCTCAACCAAAAAGTTTCTCACGGGTCCTTCATGGTTTTCCTTTTTCTTGTACACAAGACATCCTGCCCTTGGCTGTCTTGGTTTCACCCCCACTCTCTCTCTCTTTACGTTCTTGTTTACATTATACCCCAACTCTGTCGCTGATGCCAATGCGTAACACCATATGTTTCCTTGTACCTTGCTTCCCGGTTATCTGCCTTTTCTCGTCAATTTTCAGTCGACCTGAAGGAGGCCGTCAGGTCAAAACGTTGCTTTTCTTTTCTCCTTTGTCACAAATTATTTCCAACCTCCCTCTACTAATGTCTTTCCCTCCAAATTTGGCAGTTTCTTGTCCACTTTCTTGTTGTTTAGTATCTAAAATTGAGGCAGCAGGCGCTCCGTCTTTTTACGAGTCTACTACGATGTTTATGCATTTATGCTGTACATGTTGCACAATTAAAGATGCACTTTTGTTGTTCTGAAACTGCATCTAAAGGGCAACTCTGCTCGATTTCGAAACTTTTGGGATTGTGAGGATTTCAAATTAAAAAGCATTGATTAAAGACACACTGTCATTTGCTTTGCGAAAAATGAGATATTGCATATTTTATGAAATCTGACTTTAAACATGAGCAAAAACCGAAACTCCGGCTCCGTTTGGCTTGGGTCGCCAAAAACATGGCTTCCACGTGGTACGAGCA